CGTCATAGACCCACTACACTCCAAAAGATGTCATCCCTCCCCGACGGCAGCTTCGCATTTCACGCACTTTACCGCTACTCAGCAGTGTGGTTGTGGTGCATTCTCGGTCACAAATGCCAGAGCCAATCTTCTAGTCAAAGTGATGGCTGGCGCATTTCGTATCGGACCAATCGCCACGACGACGCCTCCGCCACGCCGTCATATTTGTGTGGGAATTGCAATGTGTCGTATGTCTCTGCGGCGCTTACGACGACACCGATTGCCTTTGAGTAACGGTTCACGATAAACCGAGAGCTTCCAAATTGCGAACTCCCCACTCGGGCTTGACTCGACCCAACGAAGATGACAACGGGGAGCAAGCCGAATTGAACGACGCACATGATGGCTAGATGTTATAGTGAAAGGTGCGATGCACCATTGGAGCGTAAGAGGCTGTGGGGGTCGTGTAAACGCCGTAAGAGATAGCAAACGCTGATAGAGCAAAAAGAGACAAAGAAGTGCTCCCTGCCAGGCTCGAACTGGCGACCTTCAGATTATGAGACTGACGCTCTATTAACTGAGCCAAAGGAGCATCATAACTCAACAACAGCCACCACGCCAATTAAATCAAAATACGCATCACATGCAAGACATACGCACGCTCCGCACGAACAAGCATCGTCACCACCACCGCAGGCGTATCGGTGACCGTCTCCTGGTCTTCTTCGGCTGACACGAAGTGTCACAGACCCACTACACTCCAAAAGATGTCATCCCTCCCCGACGTCAGCCTCGCATTTCACGCACTTTACCGCTACTCATCAGTGTGGTTGTGATGCATCCTCGGTCACAAATGCCAGAGCCAATCTTCTAATCAAAGTGACGGCTGGCGCATTTCGTATCGGACCAATCGCCACGACGACGCCTCCGCCACGCCGTCATATTTGTGTGGGAATTTGCAATGTGTCGTATGTCTCTGCGGCGCTTACGACGACACCGATTGCCCTTTGAGTAACGGTTCACGATAAACCGAGAGCTTCCAAATTGCGAACCCCTCACTCGGACTTGAACTCGAGCTCAATCAGGATGACAGCGGGGGAGCAAGTCCAATTTGAACGACGCACTTGATGGGTAAGATGGTATATTGAAAAGGTGCCATGCACCCATTGGAGCGTAAGATGCTGTGGGGGGTCGTGTAAACGCCGTAAGAGATAGCAGACGCTGATAGAGCAAAAAGAGGCAAAGAAGTGCTCCCTGCCAGGCTCGAACTGGCGACCTTCAGATTATGAGACTGACGCTCTACCAACTGAGCCAAAGGAGCATCATAACTCAACAACAGCCACCACGCCAACCAAATCAAAATACGCATCACATGCAAGACATACGCACGCTCCGCACGAACAAGCATCGTCACCACCACCGCAGGCGTATCGGTGACCGTCT